ATGTGAACAGCGCTGTACGTATGTGAAGCCAAGAGGGTTCCATTAGAAGGTGAACACTCATTGTGGGAGCTACATGACACAATACAGAGTATATACATTTTAACCTTTCCTCCTTTCTCATTCTTCAGTCATTCTAAGATCTTTCTTTCTGAGGTACATGTAGAAGAAGGACTTCCTCACTGTGTGCAAAGGAAGCATGTTTTACAATCTTCTAGGCCCTTTTCTTTACTGTCACAGGTAGTATTGTCTTGCTAGTTTGAAAACAGAAAATGATTAATCTTCTCAGCAGTGCTGGGTAGTTGCTAAGAGAACCCAGGTTCCAAATCCAAAGACCTTGTCTGAGGGCAATTAAGCTATGAAAAGAGTGAGATTTAGAAATCAATCAGTGCAGTTTTATTGGGCACTTTAACTTAAAATTGGTTCAACTTTTTTTGTGTACGTTATTTGTTCAAACTGGGTTAGCATATGCAATGTCCAGGTGCTATCTTTTTTTCTTTTTAGTATTTATGAAAACTTTCCACTTGCTGTTGAGGCTATTCTTTCCAAGGTTTTGCTTTTCGTCTGCAGTCTTCCCACTCATCACTTGCTTGGCACCCTAAAGTGTGGATAAAGTCTACACTTGAGCCTTCCCTTTATCTACTTGTATGAAATTCTGCTACTTTCACTGTCAGAATAGGATCATAGAAGGACCTGGTGCTTCCACAGGAAAGGGCTAACCTAGCAGATGCCTCATGCAGATAGATAAAGAACAGTTTAAGAAATTAGTGTGATCTGAGGATTAAAAACAAAAGAACAATTAAAGGAAAAGCACATATTAGTAAAAGGATAATAATTATTACTGGCTTCGTTTGAAATGCATGATGAGTCAGTTCAACTACATCAGTTTAGGTGTCATACAGAATTCATCTGACAAAAACATTCTTTTATTGGCTTTGTAAAATTGTCATTAAGCACTCTTAAGCTGGCATGTTGATATGTTGGTTTCTTTAGTTCATTTTTTGCACAACTTTTGTACTGCCTAAACTGATCTTTCCCTCAGGCTAATCTTAATGGCTATTGGAATATATATGCAATGATTTACACACGGTTTACAATATTTCTGCTATGTTACTTGCCATTGATATATTAATGTGACCCCAATTTTCACCCTTCCTGGTCAAGAATAAAATGAACTTAGCTCTTCAAAGCTGCAATTCACGGAAACATTCAAGTGTGTACTTAACTTTACCCACATAAGTTGTGCTGGGACTGCTTGCTAAAGGACACAGATGCTTAAATGTTCCGCTGCACGTAGCAACACTTAACTTTAAAGAAATATGGAGTGTTTTGCTGACTGAAACCCTCATGGATAAATCATCTGCTCACTCTGATTCAAGCATGTGCTGCTGTTGCATATACCATAGCTATCTCGAGAACCCTTAGACGTACAGTGATGAGTCTCTGAACACAAACACTAGCCACATGACTCATGGTGATGAGAGAAAGTCAGACTGCATGTGCAGTAAGGAAAAGTTCTGATTATGACAGACTGGATTAGAAAAAACTCAAAATCATCCTAATTTCAGCAATTATCTTCTTGTTGACCCTTTGCTTCCTCAAACCTCCCCCCCCCGGGCCATTGGTCGTTATCATATAGATTGCCACTTCTGAAATTAATGCATTGAGAAAAGAGGTAGATCTTTGCACCCTATTCTGGAAAGACCTTAGCATATAATAAAGTGCTATAAAAATACTTCATGTTATTTTTACTGTTTTAAAAGACACAATGTGTGAGATATCATAAGAAATACAGATGGCACCTCCTCAAGCTTCTCCAATAGCTCCCTTTCCCCTCTTCTATTATAGCTCATGACAGGGCAAGTCAAACATGTGGGGTGATTAAAACTAGGGGTTCTACCCTACTTAACTCACGGCCTTTAATTATGTGCAGGTTATCTCATAATTTATATATACATAAAAAGTCCATAACGCAATAAGACTACTATGTTCATGTGGCATGTGCTTCTCTTTACAAGTATTAGTGTTCGCTGAAGTCATTTCTTCCTCTCAGTATTCCTGTGATACCAACTATGCAAATGGCCTGATTAGCCTGTCTTTTGGCATGTATTCCTCTTTGAATAGCATGAAAATGAAGTGCTGAGCAGCTGGGCACCTATTGATGTGTCCTACTTTCACGTTAACGATTTCCACGGGTGAGAAATCGCTTCTACTAAGTCAGATTGTTCAGAACCAACTTTCCTGAGAGATGAGCTTTAAGGATAAAATGAAAGAATAGTTAAAAGACAATTCACTTTACAGCAGAGTTATTGAGTTGTACTATTTAATTTTAAAATAAAACTTGTCTTTTTGTGATACCTATTCCGTAATTGTGGTGTTCTACCTTTTTCCCTTCCATGCCTACCCAAGTTAGACTCCCCTAGTCTGTGTCTGTGCCTTGCAAAGGAAACTTCCTTACTCGCTTCCTGTGACTGAATACTTGAAATCAGATGGTCTTTTGGAGAAGCAGGAAAGGTTCTCGCCTTCCTTCTACTCTTTGTTTCTTTCTTCTTCCCTACTTGATTTGATAATCATTTCTACTGTATACTCCAATTATCAAACATTTTCTTCTGGTTGCTTATATTTTTTCCAGTGTCCTGAAACCACGTTGGTTATACTGAAAAAAAATTATGAGATATATTAAATGCATTCTCTTCTTTCTAGATTTACAGCAAGTACGAAGTCTAAACAATGACATTACTATGGCACTCGTAATCTGCAGCATGTCCCTCACACACAGCTCTTTCTTTTTTTGCTTTCAAAATTTTACAAGTTTTACTCTGAAGTCTGTCAAACACTTTGAAAGAAGAGTGGATTGTCTAAGGTGCAAGTCATGGGCATGAAAACAGACTAATTATGCTAACGTTTAAAGTGTACCTTTGAGATAAATTTTTTAAATGTAAAAATACGACAACAAGAAACATGTTGATTTTAGTAGGGACTGTAGCCCTATCACAAATAGGATGATTTTATGTACTATTCTACAAACCAAATGCCTATTCCCAAGTGCTTGCAGCCTGTATAAGGAAATACAGGTTCAGAGCAAAAGAAAATGTTGTCACTTGTATAAGCACTACGAAAAATGATGGCTGCCCTGCTGTTATTAATTCCACCTAATTTTCAATTTTTGCATACCGTCACTTTGTTTTTTTTGAGAGTTGAACCTTATGAGCACCAATCAGTCCAGCAAAGGTGGTAAGTGTGTGTTCAGCTTTGACCTAAGTGGGAACGTTTATCTGCTTATTTTACGGAGAGCTAAATGGTGTTCTGAATTATTTGCTGAATTCAGAGCTTGTTCCCCTTGTGAATTTACCTTGTAACTTCACTAGGAAGAAGATCAGGTAATCTGTCCAAGTCTGTCTTTGTTTTTAAAAGGAGTAATTAAAGTTTTCTGTCTTTCTCTCACGCTATTTCAGAGCTTGGCTTACAAAAGAAGGCTGGTGTTTGAGATCAGGTGCTACAATCTTTTGCTGCTGTGTAGTGTGACTTAATAGAAGTGCATTTTCTTAAAACCTTTGCTTTCCCTTTTTGCTCCTTTTCCCTGTAGATATTGCATTTTTGTGTGATTGAGTCTGTTTCCTTTCTGACTCCATTTCATTATCTTTACATGTGAAATATTTTAAATCAGACATAGAACAGTCTGGGTCCTACCGGGGGAACTAAAAATTAGGTCTTTCATGATGAGGTGGAGATAGTGTTTCTGTTCTACCTTTTTACCTCGGTCCTGGAGCAAAGCTTCTGGATTCAGATTTTTCCAGTATTATACTGTTCTGTCAAGTAGAGCTAAAAAATAATAATTCTGTCTATGTGATACAGTGTGTAGTCAGCTGTCATCATAATAAAAAGTTTACAGTTGGGCTGCTTATTTTGATTTGATCCCAGTTATGTAGCATTAGAGAGCAGATGTTCCTGGTGTAATCTGATAGCAATTTTTACTCTATTTTCTAATTTCTAGTCAAGGATAGATGATTTGATGAGACCAAGGCCTCTGTCAAACCTCCACCCTACTCTACCTCAAGCTGATCCCTTGACCTGAAAGAAAGAACAAACAGTTCTGCAGTAAAATTGTTTCGTTGTGCGCTGTACCTTAGTTGTGTTTAGATGAATACAGACTGCCAATAAGATAATTCTGGATGGTCTTTTTTGTCCTTGCTAAACTTTGTCTGTGGTTGGAAAATAATTTTAGAGCAGATTTAAGCACATATCTTTAAAGAGAGAATTGGAATAGAGGCATGTTGGCAGTAACAAATTACAGTACACTGAAAATGTTTGTAACAATAATTGAGATCTAGAGGGTAATAAATGAGGAAGTAGAGCTCTGAAGAGAAAGGGTACCAGGACCAAACGTGGTTGTACCATATAGCAATTTAAGAATTTGTAATGACAAAAGGTGTTTGAATATGTCAGTAGACATGCAATTGGAGTTAGACACTGATTACCCCTGAGATACAATTAACTAACGGTTGTTGCTTTTATTTCATGTCTTTGTTTCCTAACTGCCTCAGGCTGTGGTAGATCTCAAAAATTTTCTGTGCATAGATCTTTTTAATTCTATAAACCTCTAACCGCTTTGTGCAGTCTATTGATTAAACATCAACACAGGCATATGGACCGGATGACATTGCATTTCTGAGACTAAGAGCAAGGAAGTCAAGGGACTTGTTCATATTAATCTATCCCCTTTCGTGACTGCTTTAGTTGTATGTTATTTTAGTTATTCTACAGAAGTTATAATTTGTGTTTTTAATAGTACTTTTAAGGAATTTATGAATAAATGTATTGTGAACATATGTCGGTTTCACTATCCGTATCTGTACTTTCAGATAGATTACGATGGTAATCCTACTGTCTTCTTGAGATGTTAGAAGCTGTACTAAATACTCAATGAAAAATACGAGAGTATTACAGGCTGTTCTGTTATATCTGTGAATAACTGTGTCTTTACTTTCCCTCTGGTTTTACAGGGCACAATGACTACATGTGTCCTGCTACTAACCAGTGTACCATTGACAAGAACAGAAGAAAGAGTTGCCAGGCTTGTCGACTAAGAAAATGCTATGAAGTGGGAATGATGAAAGGTGGTATGTACATGGCAATCAACAGATCCTCAGCATTGGTGTCTGCCTTCTTATCCTTTAACTGCATTGGACAGCTGATAGTGTTCCTAAAGGAGTAAGAAACTAGTTTTGTTGAGCCGAAGGGTATTAAATCAAAAATCTATTAAATAAAAAAACCAAAACCTCCCAAACACCATGTTATTATTCTTGCCCAAATTGGCATCAAAATTAACAGGAGCATTGACTTTGATGGAGTTAGGATTCTTCCGTTAATATATGCAATTCATTATTTTTTTGGTCTCTTGTGGTAGACTCCAGATCACGATGAATGAAATGTAACTCAAGATTTTGTAGCATTTTTCAGTTCAGTGTGAAAAGCACTGATAGTCTCAAATCAGTCCATATTCATTAAAATAAACTTCTGACTATGTAACATTTATTCTGTGAATTGTGGAAGGGAAAGTCAGTTCCTCTGTTCCAGTGCTGTACATATTTTATATGAATTAATTTCACCCAACAACATTAAAGGCTTACTCATTTTATAAAAACTGAGATAAATGTCACTTCCTTGGAACATATGAAGGTAATAATGATGTCAGAGAAGAAGAATTGACATTGAATGCTTAGGCTAATGTGGAATACCACTAAATTTCTTTCTTTATGTAGACAGTGCTTAACTTTTGGAGGTAAAATTAGAAATACATGACAATACTGAACAATTGCTACAGTGCGTTCTTAGATGAAAGAGTTCTTCTGTAACATCGTTTTGGAACAATCATGATATCTGCCTTTCTCCTTTATGTTACAGTACCTTATATTTGTCAAAACCAGACAGACGTTAGCTATTTTTAATCCTTTTAAAAGGCCAAGCTCCTAAGACTCAGGAATATTTCAGAACAGGAAATCATAAAGTTTCATATTTGCTCTAAAGGATGAGAAAACCTTGTTGTAACCTACCAAAAATTTCAGATTGCTTTTGTTAATGAGTAGTATTTACTAGCTTTATTGAAACCTGTTTCTATAGGAATATTTAGCAAACTAGTAAGTGCTCAGAAAAGAAAGGATTAGAACCTATGTTTTATGTGTGAAAGGAGCCAATTGTTAAATTACAGATTGGTTCTCCCTTTCTCTGGCACACCTAATGCTTACTTATTCCACAAAAAATCGGGGGCAAGGCAGAGCAGTAGCTCATCATGTTTACCCTTCCTACAACAAAGGATTGTTTATAAGCCCAGTACGTGTGGTCATGGTGGGCTAAGTCTGGGAATCTTGGGAGAAAGAGTAAAGGAAAACTAGTCAATTGATGCTCTGCTTTGAGGTTGAATCTGCATTTTTCTCATCTCCAGGATTAGGCAAGACCTGAGACTGGTTTTATTAATCTCAGTTTTTGGATGCAAGCAGGAGGAAGGTGTCAAATCTCTTTTTAGTTCTAACACTTGAGACAGTGGCTGATTTTTTTAATAAGATTTGGTTTATGGATCCAGAGTTTTATTATTTCTGTCTTAACATCCTGATGTATATGGCTAGAACTCCTTAGAGTAAAATGTATATAATCAGTATCACAGCTATGGTCTGGAGAAGCCAAAGTTTCAGATAAGGCAAACTAATACCAGAAAGTCCCGTACATAAATTTGCCATGCAGCTTTAGCTTTGACCCTTGTACATATGGCAGATCACAGTTAAGATATATTTTCTACATAAAACATATGACATTACATCTTTCATTTGGCACATTTCCATCCATTTATACTCGTATGTATGTAATGATCCACTGTACCAGTTTGTTTTTCATATCTCTTCTGTAAGATACATGTTGTAATAGGTTTTTCACCATTCCATACATGGTTGTTTCTATTACCTAAAAATTGTACCTAATTCTCAAAGAGCATTCTGTAGACTAAGGAATTCTAAAAGAAGTCTGCAATTTTGTCCAAATTTTCTTTCTAATATAGATGTTCTGGAATTTTTATTTCGTACTGTGGCCTTCACTTGAGCAAAGTTTCTATAGTCACTACAGTAATCGACAGTTCACAAATACTAAATGTTGAAACTAAGCTCACAATTCACAAACATAGAGATCAGGTGCATAAATTTTACCTGCTCCTCTAAGGCCACTAATAATGCACTGAAGTCCATGACTAGTTCATAGGCAAGAGTTTAAGAATATTAATTTTATGAAGTCTGGGAAAAATTTCTCAAGATCCCTCAGTTACAGGTTACAAATCTGGCATGCCTGCAGATGAAGTATTCAAGAAAGGTAAAAATCTAGGATGAAGTAAAGCATTCAGGGCTCTGCTGGAGTCATTACCAATCGCATGTTGTCCATGTGGCTGTGGGAGAAAGAAATCCATTTCTTTAGGTAGTACTTGATAATTGTCCCATTTGTCTCAGATGAAGATAAAGATTGTCAATATTCTTGGTATGTCATCTGGTTAACTTTTAAAGTGTTAACTTTTAAGTGTTTTTACATATTTTTTTTTTCTTTTCTCTGGGGAGATCTCAAGGTTTCTGTTTCAATGTCTTGTTATAACACTTTTCTTCAACACACTTGAATCATGTAGTGCTGTGGTGTTAACTCAAGGTCTAAATTTTCTTTAATAGTTCGTAGTTCTTTTGTATCTTTTAATTTAAGTAATCTCCTTTTGTTCATATTGAAGGATTTGCCTTGTTTAAAGACATTAATTCTATGATACATTTGAAAAATATTCAGTTGTGTCATATCTTCTATATCTATCTCCACAATTTGTTTATGATGATGTACCTTTTAGACATAGTGGAAAACAGCTGTGATCTTTCTTTTCTCTAAATGTAATCTTGATTCTCCCTCTGCACTGCATTAGGTGAGGTTTCTTAATAAACTGTCAAAGCTGCTAACTTATGACTTTTATCTATCATTTAACTTCTGACCAATAGCTGATATTTATTATTGAGTTTCAGCAAATATGGGGGAAGCCAGATAAAAGTTTGATTAAATGTCTCTGGTTAATTTTAAATGTAGGTTATGAGCTATGACTGCAGAGGTTTTTCTTATAGAAGGACATGTAATGCAGCATAAAAGAGTTCATATATATTATTTTTAATAGAGTGGACAGAACTGAAAGATGGTTTCGGGTTTTCATTCAGAAAAAGTGCAGGCTTCAAGTGGCTCTTGATCTTTGCTGTAGGAACATTTATTTATATAAGTGTGTCTGTGGAAATTTTATCTTTTTTCATCCCACTGTCTTTCATCTTTTAAAAAATTCTTTCAGTACTGAAGAGTTACTTTCCTTCTCTCCTCCTATGTTTCCAAGTGTTTCCTTCTGCCTCTGTTACTGTGCTGCTTCGAGAGACAGACTGCCAGAATCTCTGCTGATGTAGTAAGCACCTGAGACAGAATTTATAGGGGTTATATTTTGTCCAAATGCTTCATGGTCTCTTTCTGATTAAGCCAAAACTACCTTCAAACTATATTTTATTATTTAGTCTACCCACCCCTCTTTGTACGTGAGCATAAAGAGGTCACACGGAATAAGCTCCTTGTCATGTCCCTCTTTCTTCTGGTTGGGTAGCAGGGAATAGTATCCTTGGTTTTGTTTATGATTCACTGATGCTTTCTTGAAGATTGCTTCTATTCTGGTTTGGAGAAGTGTATTCCAACTTACTATTTCACGAATGGGTGGTCCCAGTTTCCAAATGGAGCTTTTACAGCAGTCACCAGCCTGAAGCTCCAGCCATACGCATGGTCCAGGTGATGTCTGCTACAACAGAGATCTAGTTTTCCATTTCTTCTTTGTTTCAATGGCTTTCTGATGACTGGGCTCCAAAGGATCTCATTCTCTGCAATCAAAAGCACCTTATTTTAATTGTTATTTATTAATTATTTCAATAGTATGGTAAATGAATGGGGATTTATAGCTATTGGCATGCTACGTTCTTCCCCTCCTTTCACGTGTGGCAAAGCAGATTTAACATCAAGTGCTCTGTGGGATCAGAACAACAGAGTGCTATTGGAATCAGTGGATATGGCAAAAATTGGTCATAACATTAAATTTTAGATCCTTAATAAAAATCAGTCATTTGACTGGTAGTCCATTTTTAGCTACACTGAGACCTACAAAATTCTGTCAATTGTCGAGTGCTGATGGCTTCCCAACCTCAAGTCATATGCAATGTGGCAATCAAGGATTTGAGTGCTCTTGTGCTAGGTCTGGGTGGTGATCATGTGTACGACCAGGGGTATTTCCTGCCTTTGAACAGCTTGAGACTTCATGTTGTAGAGAGAAGATTCTGAGTGTTGTTTCTTGTCAAAATGAAGACACAACATTACAGCGCATCTGAAGCATACATCTTCAGTGTTGCCCTCACAAAGTATGTGAGAAGCCTTCAGAGATTACTGTGGTACAGCTCAGAGAATAAAAGTCTGTGTTTGCCATAAGTGTGCTATAACCACGTGCCAGGTGCCTGTAGAAACCTTCATTAACTTCTAGAGACTGAAGTCTGTAAACTAGAGGCTTTCAGTTTTTCTCTTACATTCTCTTGAAATAGTTACCCACCTGTAATCTCATGGGAATTCAGTCTGGTTCAGTGTGATAATATTGCTGAAGTTTAAGACAAATTTTACAGTGAAAAGGCGAAAACATTTGGCAAATTTGTTATCCTCTCAGAAAAGATCCTTGCTGATTTTTGTCTTTAAATGGAGAGAGTTAAGGTTCCTTGCTGAATGCTGTATTTGTTCATACTAAAAGGCTAGAGAGTTATTAGAATCATTCTCAAAAACAGAGGTAAATCAATGTCTGATGCAACCCCTGGAAGGGCTCCAGACTACCTAGTTTTCCATGTAATTATCTTTAAATGAAATATTGTATTAAAAATAGAAATCGGTGAAAGAAGGAAAATGGATTAACAATGTGGAACTATTTTTGTTTGTCTAAGGAGAACCTTTATGATATTTATCAGACATACTGTTCTGTACTCAGCCAAATAACTGTGTAGGTGGGGCCTGATAATGTCTGAGCAAATGTACATTTTTAAGATGTAATTGATGG